AAGTTTTCACTAATTCTTTGCCCAATTCCTTCTTTCCCAGTTTTCAACACGGCTTCACCTCTGCAACACCAATTCAAGATTCACACACACACACGCACTCTCATCGGAAAAAAAAAAGTAGAAAAACTGAAAAAACAACGCAAATTACACCAAAAACATGTCGTCTTCGTCGGCGCCGCCGCCATCCCACAACCACGAACCCACTGCCGAAACCCAGACCCGACCCGAACCCCCTCAAAAACCCGCATCGGATATCAAGAAGCCAACTTTCCTGACCCCCCACCAGAAGCCTACGTGGGTCCTCCCCTACCGGACCCCACTCCTCAAGAGCCTCTACTCAATCGGCCGGAAGCTCGGCCAGGGCCAGTTCGGGATCACCTTCCTCTGCACCGAGAAATCCACCGGCACGCCCTACGCCTGCAAATCCATCCCCAAGAGGAAGCTGATCTGCCGGGAGGACTACGATGATGTCTGGAGGGAGATTCAGATAATGCACCACCTGTCGGAGCACCCCAACGTTGTACGGATAAAGGGCACCTACGAGGACGCCCTGTTCGTGCACATAGTCATGGAGCTGTGCGCCGGCGGCGAGCTCTTCGACCGGATTGTGCAGAAGGGGCATTACAGTGAGAGGGAGGCCGCGAAACTGATCAAGACTATTGTTGGAGTGGTCGAGGGCTGCCACTCGCTGGGGGTCATGCACAGGGATTTGAAGCCCGAGAATTTCTTGTTCCTTAGTGCCGATGAGGATGCTGCTTTGAAGGCCACTGATTTCGGCCTCTCTGTCTTCTACAAACCAGGTGCGACCGTGCGAGCGCGTGTAGTTCATTCTATTTTCTTGGATATCCATTAGTTTTTTATGTGCTTAATGATTGTTCTAAGTATATCTGGACATTTGCTGGGCTTGAGTGGTTTAGGGTATTTAGTGATTGCATTTATCTATCTTTCTGGTCGATTTGCATCTGGGTGTAAATTTGCATATGATATTGCTCTTCTTTTCTACTGTAGAAATGGTGTGAGAATAAGATCATTAGAATTAGATTAAGTTCTGGCAGATTCAATTTATCAGTGTACTGTCTGGGGCCATTTACTGATTTTTATTGATTTTGTTGAGTAGTAAAATGTCTCAGCTACCTTGTTATTTTTCCTGCCATTATCTTTGTTGAATCTTTTATTTTATCTCTGCAGTTCCTATGATGTTGCTCCTCCTTTTTGTATATGCTGGACATGAAGTATCTTTCATTGTTCTTATGTTTTTTGATTCACTTAATGAATTTCATTTGCCAAATTGGGGTCCAACATGTAAAAAATTATGTGGAATATTCATCTTCTTTATTGATGTTTGTTTGAGAAGCTGACGTTGGGGAGGTCCAAGTACGTGTGCTTTAGGCTTTCAGAAAGATGTGATTAGATTCTCTTCTTTGCCTAAGCTGCCTTTTATCAAACCCAAACTTTTAGTTTAACTATATATTGGTAAGGTTCTTGGCCTTTGATATATTTATCTGAGAGTTGTGTTATCCACTTTGGCCTGTAGCACTGTGATCTAACTTTTTCATAGTTAAAAACTTTTGTTGTTAAAGGCAATGGCTTGTGAGTATCTACTTGTATATCCATTATTTTTGAATCACATAACTAATCTTGTTCTTTCAAATTACTTTTTCTGGTTTCAAAATTTTTTGTCATCAGACGAAAGTTTTAGCGACGTTGTGGGAAGTCCTTATTATGTTGCACCGGAGGTACTGCAGAAACATTATGGAACCGAGGCAGATGTGTGGAGTGCTGGAGTTATTTTGTACATATTACTTAGTGGTGTTCCACCTTTCTGGGCAGGTGCTTGTCCTAATTTATTATTATTATTATTATTATTATTTTTTTTTTTTTTTCTGTTATNGTTATGTAATTCACTCATTATGATCAGCAACTAAGATTTATTCTCTTGACCTCCAGAAACTGAGATGGGAATTTTCCGCCAGATATTACGAGGAAAATTGGACTTTGATTCTGAACCGTGGCCTGTAATTTCAGACGTTGCCAAGGATTTATTAAGAAAGATGCTGGACAGAAATCCAAAGACGAGGTTAACAGCACATGAAGTTTTGTGTAAGGAAGTTTCATGAGAAATAGGTCTCAATAATTGATTTTCAAGGGGATTCTTTTTTTTTTTTGGTCATTCCTTGTGGTTCAGTGAGAAGGACTGACCACTTTCTTTATTTATTTTTTTCTAATTTGTTAGGCCATCCATGGATAATTGATGATACAATGGCCCCTGATAAGCCACTTGATTCTGCGGTTTTATCACGCCTCAAGCAGTTCTCGGCAATGAACAAACTTAAGAAAATGGCTCTACGTGTGAGGACTTAATCTGTCTATAGCTTATGAATTTTTTGATCCATTGAGTTGAGCATAATGAAATCTGTCTATAGCTTATGATTTTTTGATCCATTGAGTTGAGCATAATGAAATCAAATTGTATTGTATGTTGATTTTTGTCAGTCTAGCTATATATTTTGCTCAAGCTGTCTCAGATTTTTCCGGTTTCAGTAGTAGAGTTTTTCCCCCCATTTCCACTCTTGAATGTACTTACACAGGCTTTCACTCCACTCACTGGCAAAGCTTTCACTATTTTGTAGGTCATTGCCGAGAGATTATCCGAAGAAGAAATCGGCGGTCTGAAAGAGCTGTTTAAAATGATTGATACAGACAATAGTGGAACCATAACCTTTGACGAACTAAAAGAGGGTTTAAGGCGGGTGGGCTCGGACCTTATGGAATCAGAAATTAAAGATCTTATGAATGCGGTAATAAAACATACAGAGAAGAGAAAAATCTGTGTTTTGCTTATTTTACTTGTTGCTGAGTAGATTTACTGAATATTTTTATATAGTTTAGCGTTCTCAGTCTACTAATAATCAATTCCTTTTGTTTTAATTATATTTGTTTAATTATTTCCAGGCTGACATCGATAACAGTGGAACAATAGATTACGGGGAGTTTCTTGCGGCCACCGTACACTTGAACAAGTTGGAGAGAGAAGAGAATTTGGTCTCGGCTTTCTCTTTCTTCGATAAAGATGGCAGTGGTTACATAACCCTTGATGAGCTTCAACAAGCGTGCAAAGAATTTGGTCTTAGTGAGCTTGATCTAGATGATATGATCAGTGAGATTGATCAAGATAATGTAAGTGATTTTCTCGCCTTTTCATTTTTCAAAAACCACCTAGCTGAAGATTGGTGATTGGTGATTTGTTTTACCTTATTGATATTCATTTTGAAATACAAACAAATATCTCGTTAATTTGTAGTTCTCAAAAATTATTATAATATCCCTTTTTATCCTATTTTCGCTCTTGTGGAATTAGATTGAGCTTCAAGGATATATTGTTGTAATTATCCTTAAACAGTAAATTATATATCTTTTTAACTTAATTTTCAACTTTCTGAGCTCACCCTTTTGGATTTCGGCCATGCCTTATTAATTTGCCCTGATTTTCAGTCTCATTGCTATCATTGCAGGACGGGCAAATAGATTATGGGGAATTTGCAGCCATGATGAGAAAGGGAAATGGAGGTGGCGTAGGTCGAAGGACCATGAGAAAAGCTATCAACTTGGGAGATGCACTTGGATTGGGGGTTTCGAACAATAATAATAATCAAGGAGCCGACTCATAGGACTAATCCCGATCAAGAAAACTCGAATTTTTCCTTTTCTTGATATAGACTTTTGTTTTCCGGTGACATTGCATTTGCAGCAATCTACATTCTAATGAAAAAGAGGCTTACGCAACTGTCTCCATTCGCTTACTTTGGTCCTCCATTTGAATATAGTACAGTGCCCTCTCGTGAAGCCCTTACCTCGTGTAAACCGAACAGGTATGAGTGTGTCAAACTTGAAGTTGTATATTACACTTGCAAAAACTAAAATACTGCTTACTTACATCCAACATGTTAAAGTATACTTTCCAGAGTCTTAAATATCATATTTTTGTATGCATAATCGCGTTTAAGGTTATCGGGACTGGGTTCGACATTTGTGGCTTGGGCAAGAATATAATCATATGGGTTTATTGGACAGGTTGTTTTTAGGTATAAGTTTGTTGAACTTGTAAGATTAGCGGATCGATTCACGCTGATTATGTTATGATCATATGTCAACTTTAGTAGTGAATGTTTTTTTTTTTTTTTCCTTTTCTTTTGTCATTTTATTAAGTATCACTTGCGTGGCACGTGCTTCTTCCTAGCTTAAACAAAAGTATAAGATTCCATAACATAAATATACATATTTTGTTGAAATAGTATTGACTTGCGTAACAATTAAGCAGCTCAATAGCAATACGTATTAGATGTAGTATTTGGAACAACTAATAGAGGATTTAATTTATAAAATAGAAACAATAAACTAGCAAGTATGTTGTAATCTACATAAAGTATCTGGATCTGTTTTATAATCCAACCCTCAATGGGATTTTATTTATTTTGGTTCCCACCACATTTCAAAGTACCCCAACTCTCAGGGTTAACGGAAACATTATAGTGATACAACATAGTTACAAGCAATGGAGGGAGGCTCTTTAACAAGGTCAAATTGCCGATTCTACTCGTTTCTTCTTTGCAAAGAATGACGATCCCCTGCAATATGAACAAGAACCGGCAAAGCATACTGACAAAAGCAATCATTCTATTGGACCCATCATCAAAATGCGAGATTTTGCATGGGGACACGTGTCACTCTCCTACGCCCTTAATTTGTCTCCTAAGTCATAATGGCTTTCACTTTTTCCGTGTTTAAATTCAGCCTTCAAGGTCCCGGAAGAACAAAATCGAGAATAACTCTCATCTACTACTCAACGCAACATGTATAAAAAATCCTCTTATCGCCAATCTTTTGTGCAATTTCTATTTCAAGTTCCGTATGCTTGTTTTTACATTTTGGCCATTAATTTCTAGGTCGTTGCTCTTTTATCATTATACAATGCGATTAAATCGCCCCATAAATCGTATTTAACTGTAGTTGATGCCCGACCGTCAACAAGATGGAGCTAGAACCTTACTGATTACTTCTAAGGTCAATGCTCACAACAGCAAGAGCCTTTTCAACATACAGTGCCTTGCATTGTATCTCAATTTCCTCCTGGGAAAGGAAAAAATGGTTCAAAGTGACGAAAGTGTTCAGTTAAACCTAACTGATTCTAACAGGACTGGAACGTACAATCTCCCAAAATATACTTGAGATACCAGTCTAAGAGTTCTCTAAATTCAATAGTAATAGAACTGTTAAAAATAAAACACTGGCTAAAATCATTTCGAAATCATAAATTCAAGGAAGTGTATGCAAAAACTTGTATGTTTTTAGAGAGTGATTTACTGCAGCAGATAAACAGAAAGAAAGAGAATCAGAAATTCAGTAAGTATTTGTCTCTGCAAAACTTGGAATAAAATTAGAAGATCGCTTTGAAGTTTTTCTTTGAAGGCATCAGATGACACGTTAAAACGTTTAATGGTGTATTGACAAGTATACTATAATGGACACTATCCATTGACTCCATAAAATTCCTGAAACTCGAATGAGCTAACCCACAGTTCGACAACTGATTTTCTTTTATTGTCCTTTAAATCAACTTTTCAAAGTACTTAACAATTATATAAAGCTGCATCGCAAGCCCCACTAAGTGTGTAGCTGCTAAGTGCTACACACGCATTAAATCATACTGTGACTGCACATTTTGCTGGTGTTTTTTCTCTCTGTTCTAGTGTTTTTTATGGTTTGATACACTAGTTGTTAACATATCAGGAACAATTGATATATACTTGATTTAAACACAACAATACAATCAATACAGACAGATTTTTCTTGTATTTTGTATTTATTTGGTCCTCTTCTTCAACGTAATAGCAATTGAACGAAGACATAGAACATCAAGTATGTACACTGAAACTACATAGGTAAAATCAAACGAATCCAACGGTAAAGTCGCATTCCGCTTGCAGTTAGCCAAAAATTCAGTTACAACTGAACACATACAGTACCACAATGTGGAGGGAAAAACCGAAGAAACATGTAATTTGTATGGCAAGACTGGTGTTGTTAGTTGCAAAAACAAGTGTGGTTCATGGCAAAAATCTTTGAACCCATATAATTACTACAACAAACAACCAGCTCTGAACACCAAGACACACAAAAAACACATGAACTTTTTAAGAATCCGCTCCTCTTTAAGTTTTAACATAGTTGCATGAATTTCGGATTGAAAAGAACTTTGCTACAAAACACAATCACAATCACAATCACAATCACAATCCCAATCCCGAACCCACTCCTCTTCAAGTTTTTAACATTGTTGCACGAATTTCGGATCGAAAAGAAGTTCCCTGCAAAACACAATCCCAATCCCAACAACGACCGGTATAGTTATAATATTACAATCAGGGAACAAAAACCAAAGACGGAGAAAACCATGGCCAAAAGACAACAAAAGAATCAATCAAGATAAACCTCAGATGACTTGGAACTCTCACTTTCGCCACAAAAAAACAAAACAAAAGCACGCTCCATCCAAAACTACTTACGAGTTCCTGCTGATCCTCAAAAAGCCCTCCCTATCAACACCTCCACCACAAGCTTCCCACCTAAACCCAGCAGATCATTAGGCACAAGAAAGTACTTCTTACCCGGTGTCTGCCCACTCGTCCAACACGCACTCGTCTCCACAAACCCCTTCATCTTCACAAAGTTGCTCCCATCCCCAGCAACAACTTTGTACACGAATTTCCCATCACACGAGGCCGGCGCAAGACAAATAACACTAACCAAATTACCTCCTCGTAGGGTCCACCGATTTATCAAAAAACCGTTTTCGCAATGGACTCCTGAAGAAAGACGTGTTTTTGCCCCTTGGTTAAAGAGATGGAGATACCATTGTTAAAGACAAAGGGCTGAGATGTGTTTGGGTGTTTTTCCGAAAAGTGGGAGTACACAGAGTTGGCAGAGCCCATGTACGTGCAGTCGGGCATTGGGCACAAGCAGGCCAAGAAACCACACGTCTTTGTGTGCTCCAGCCTCTTGCTGAGGGTTATGGTCTCCGGGCAGCCAAGCCAGGCGTTCGGGCAGGAGATTTTAATAGAGTCGAGAATCTTCTCGACTGCCCGGCAACGGTTGTGCCCGATTGGCCAGCCGCAGGTCGGGCACTTTCTCTTCATTTTATCACAACAAATTTCACACATCACGTGTCCATTCTCACACTAAGAATTCACACAGATAATCAAATCAAACACCATAGATCATCAAACAGCAAATTTACCCAAATATGAAGGACAATAAGGAAAAATGGAGGAAGAAAAAAGGAACCTGGTAGACGGGAGGGTAGAGGGGTTTGAGGCAGATGGGGCAATCCAAGACATCCGGGTCGATCAGGGTCAGCGCGGGCGCGTCCCGAACACGTTCGGCCGGCTGAGTACAACTCCAATTGGCTCGCGCTTCAGCGGGTTGTTCTTCGTCGTCCGATGACTCATACCGGAAGATCCTACGGCGAGGGACGGCGGGCGTGTGACGACGGTTTCCGGCGGCGTGGGAGGGCCCAATCGGGGTGCTGGCGGAGCTGCGCGGTCTTTTGGGTACAAACTGCGCCATTGTTTTTCCCCCGCCGTGAATTGAAATGCTGCTGCTGCCGATATGGGCAGGTGTAAATAGGGAGCTTTCCCGAATTCATTTCTCGGCCGTTGAGGCTGCAGATTTGCAGCGCCATACTGTTTTGATCTCTTCCCAAGAAGGATTTGATTGATTTGAGTAGTTTTAGGTCATTCAATTGTGCTCTGCTCGCGAATCCCTGTGATAGTGCTTTTTTACAGTTGTACGCAAACGTCAATTTAGGAGGTTATTCCCTTTATAACGAAAATATTTATTTATTTGTGTTATGAAATATATAACATATAAATATGCATGTTTGTTGAAAATTGTGAATGTCCAATTGTTAAGTCTGCTAACAGTAGTGTTACTGGAAATTCACATATTTCATTGTTTGTCTTATTGGTGCTAATATATAGGGTGGATCCAATGAGACACTTTCTTATGAGAATGTATGACTCATTCTTAACTATTGATTTATGTATGATCAGTTACTCATATTAATCAATTGAGATAAAATAATTTTCTTGTTCAAACAATTAATTATCGGCGGCTGATGTCAACACCATCAGCTTTAAAACTGTACATTTAGTTCATACATAGTTGATATCAATTCTCCATACAATTGAAAAAGGATAATTATGATCAGTTACTCATATTAATCAATTGAGATAAAATAATTTTCTTGTTCAAACAATTAAGTATCGGCGGTCGATGTCAACACCATCAGCTTTAAAACTGTACATTTAGTTCATACGTAGTTGATATCAATTCTCCATACAGTTGAAAAAGGATAATTGCGCCGCAAATTTTTTTAGAAGATCAATTATCAATTTTTTCACAAAGAATGCAGCCTCCGAATTCAAATGGCAACTAAACATGAGGGTTGCGCTTGTTGTAGGGCTTACCATAACAGCTTATGGCACTCATCGTTTTGAGGAGAATTCGCGTTATGTCGAAGTCGTGGTAAGATTCTTTGCTTTACATCAAATAAAACCACGAGCTCCACTGATTTTGTGGGAAACCAAGAATGCTTTAGCCAGACCTCCTAGGCCCGATAGGCCGATACATCATATTGTTTGCTAAATTTTTAACGGCTAAAATCAATATGGATGCATTAATTTAATTATTATGACGGCTACATGAATTGTTTTCTTCTGGTAACTTGAGAGAAAATACCGACAATTTATTTGTGTTAATTTTGTAAGAAAAACATTTTAATGAAAATATATAAAAGAAAACACTCATGAATTATAATTTTAAAATTTTTTACAAATGAAATCAATTAATTATTTCAAGAAATTTAATATTGAAAAAAAATAATTAATCTATTTTTCCCGTTGACAAACATGTATAATTAGAGTATTGATAATTAATGTACAAAAAAAAGAGTACTGATAATTAAAGCTATGAAAGAGAGATTTTTTTATCAATAATCTATATCTATATATATATAAAGAGGAGCAACAAACATTAAATTATATTATCATGCATTAAATTTTATTCTCATGCATTAAATTTTATTCTCACTCCAAAATTTTCAGCATTCAATTTCATTTTTAAGTTACAAAATAACTTGCTTGAATGTCATAAATTATGAGCATAAACCAATCAAAGGAGTTACAAAATTGTACTCAAATTTTAAGTCACACTCACTCATGAAAATGGCCGAGTGTATTAACATAAAGAAGATGGTTGCAACGGCTCTTCCATAACAATTACTTGATCAAAATCAATTTTGAGATTTATTTTCTTAATTCATATTTTTTTTCATGTATTAAATTATGATTTATTTTGTTTTTTTTTTCATATTATAATATTTTTAAAGTATTCTTTTCTGTGCAAATGCACAGGTTGATTACTAGTATATATAATTGCTAGCAACCTTCAATAAATTTTATTCAGCCAGCAATTAATAAAAATAGAACTTCATTTAATAAAAATCTTTATAACAATAAATTTTATTCAGTCAGCAATTAATAAAAATCTTTATGACCAACATTCAAATGACAGTTACACAAGTAAAACCTTATTATCATTAGTTTTTCTATTCTATAACAGTTTTACAAGATTTTAAATTTTCTGAATATACAATATTAAATTATTTTACAGCTAATAATTTGTGCCTGTGCACATGATCGAATACTAGTAACAATCAATTCTGCACATTTATAATTCGAGTGTTGATGTTAAAGCTATAAATGAGAGACTTTTTATCAATAATAAAAATCATTATGCAGTAAGAGAAATTAACGAGTAATAAGTACATCATGGGCCATTGTAAGTGCTGTTAATTTTTTTTTTTATTCATCTTATTGACGAAATGAAATAAAATGAAGAACAAACCCAACATTTTGTGCAAATTAATTTGGGCCATTCTTTTACCAACAAAATTCTAGCACCGTCCAACATCCGTTTTAGTTTATCGACCACCGGTGGATTCTTCTTGCCGATGAGGTCTTACCACAAAATTTCAGCTTAGTAAGATTCGTTTGCTCACAAAAATTTTCATCCAGAGTAATTTGATCTTAAATTTGTTGTCCTTTAATTATTTCCAGGACGTTTTCAGTAACAAGTTATTTGAATGTGTAATATATGTTGATCAGTTCCGACTTCCGATTGATTATTCTATTCAACTTTAGTAAACGTTGATTTTCTTTATTAGTTCACAATTTCCTTCCAAGGCAAATCTTTGAATGCACATTTGTTGTTTCTGAACTTTCATCTTGATACCAAAAAACAATGTATAGAAATTTGGACTTCAAATATCTTTTAGATGTACGGTAAGACGGTTGTCAGACACACTTTTTTAACAAGCGTGCATATTTTCATTTAAAAATAAAATACTTCATAAATCAATATAAATAAAAGTACAACACTCATTATAGTGATACAACATATATTAAGATACAAGCAATGAAGGCTCTTAACCAAAGTACTCATTATAGTGATACAACATATATTAAGATACAACCAATGAAGGCTCTTAACCAAAGTCCAATTAAGGGTCTTTCAAATTTTACTAGAAACACTTCATAAACAGAGTGTGTAATTTATGGAATATAAACGAAAAATTAGTATGTTGTAATATACAGAAAGATATCTGGATCTGTTTTAAAACAGAACCCTCACCAGGCATTAAGTTATTTTGGTTCCCAACACATTTGAACAACTCCACCTCTGAGGGTTAAGGTTAACCAATGTTTTCTCGTCCCAAAAAAAAAAAATGTTTATAGTTTTCTTTGAGCAACTCTCATCACTCATTATAGTGATACAACATATATATTAAGATACAATCATACAAGCAATGAAGGTCTTAACCAAAGTACAATTAGGGGTCTTTCAAATTTTGCTATGGACGGCTAGGTACTTTGAGTGGCGCCCCTGAGCAATGAGCTTGCCCGTCTTCTTACTTCTAAAGTCGACACTCACAACAGCATGAGCCTTTCCAACACGCAGTGCCTTGCATTCTATCTCAATTTCCTCTTAGGAAAGAAAAAAAAAATGGTTCACAAGATGAAAGTTCTATCAGAGTAATCTAACTGATTCTAACGGAACTAAAGCGTACAATATCAAGAAATATACAAGAGAAGAAAATGCTACAAGTACATAATAAATGTACATAAAAGTATACATAACACTCACATGGAGTGGGGTCCACTTAATTTTTTATTTTTGGTAGGTCCCACACAATGTGAGTGTTATGTACACTCTTATGTACATTATTATGTACCTATAACATTTTTCTACTCGAGATACCAGTCTAAGAGTCCTCTAAACCCAATGATCGTAATAGTTTAAATATAAAACACTGGCTAAAATCATTTTGAAATCATAACTTGAGGAAGCGTATGCAGCAACTTTTATGCTTTGAGAGAAAGTGATTTATTGCAGCAGAGTAGCAGAAAAAGTGAGAATCGGAAGTAATTGCCTTTACTATGGAATCATCAGATGACAATAGTTATCCCTAAATGGTGCATTGACACGTATCCTAAAAAATACACTTGAACATTGGTCAATATATCAATCCATGGATGACTCTATACAAGAGACATCCCCTGGCTCTATAGAATTTCAGAAACTCGAATGAGCTAACTCAGTGCTTGAAAAATTATTTTTTTTGCCTGTCCTTTAATTCACTTTTCAAAGTGTCCTTTAATAAATCACTTTTCTTTTTCCAGGTCGAGGCCTTCGCAAAACTTTCATTCATTCATCAAGCGGCATCTTGTAAGGACTTCTACGATAATTATCCACGACCAAACCACTCATAACCTAATTTGGGAATTCACCCAAAAAAGGGGAAAAAGCACAAATTCTACAGAATTTCCGCATTAGAACATCCTTGATTCAAACTTATTTGCTAGTATTAAATACTGGCAAAATTGGTCTTCATTTTTTTCTTCAATTTTGCTTTCTTCGCTCTCATTGGATGTTGAGATGATGTTCCACCAACACTATTGTCACTTTGTTGAGGACTAAAAGATGACAATCCCTGAGACTCTGGTGTTGGTAGTCCATCATATGGAACGTCGGACTCGGAAGAGTCATTGAGTGTATCGAAATCCCGACGACGAGATCGTGGTTGGGAGACATTATCATCAAATTTTCCAAACTCTTTGAATAATTGGAACACATGTTGGAACTTAAAGCCTTCTTTATATTTTTGGCTTTGTTCAAACAATCGTTCGGATTTCTCGATCTACAAACAAAGTAAAAAATATATAATTGTAAGTATAACTATAAAACAAGCAAATACTATGAACCGAGATTGAACTTAAAACAAAATACTCACCCTATCTTGGATTTGTGTCCCACTAGGATTGCAATATTCAATTTGCTTCAAGTATCCATTAAACCCCCGACAATGAGTTTCCATGAGAGTGCAAACCTTGTGTTTTTTAGAGTTGTATTCATCATGTAATTTTTTCCAAAAAGTTGAAGAACTTTGGTCATTTGATGATATTGGATTCTGTGAAACACTTATGTACCATCTCACAATTAAAACATCTTCTGGTTTGGAATATTTTGGCCCTTTTGAAGAAGACATTTTGAAGAAAATAAGATATTCAAGAAGAGTGGGAAGAAGAAGACTACAATAATGGAAGAAGAAATGAGATATGTGTGTGGTTGCTTCTTGGAGTGGGATCTATAAATAGAGAAATGAATTCACATGCAAAACAAGTATAGTGATTATAAAAATGAACCAATGCAAATAATTCAATGCAAATTAATTGTTTATTCATTTGTCATCCAATGCAAAAGAATCCAATGCAAAATAATTTAATGCAAAGTAATAATGTAAAGTAATAATGTTTCACATGACCTTGTCCGAAATTATTGCCTCTGTCATTGTGTTGGTAAGATTTACTCACTTCACATGGTCTTATCTGGAGAGAATCCAATGGTTTAGATGTATCATTTGTCATTGTCCAAAAATAATGTAAAGTAATGATGTTTCACATGGCCTTGTCCGAAATTATTGCCTTTGTCATTGTGTTGGTCAGATTTGTTCACTTCACATGGTCTTATTCGGAAAGAATCCAATGGTTTAGATATACCATTTGTCATTATCCAAAAATAATATAAAGTCATAAATGTTTCACATGGCCTTGTCCGAAATTATTGTCTTTGTCATTGTGTTGGTCATATTTGTTCACTTCACATGGTCTTATCCAGAAAGAATCCAATGATTTAGATGTACCATTTGTCATTGTCCAAAAATAATGTAAAGTAATGATGTTTCATATGGCCTTGTCTGAAATGATTGCACTTGCCATTTTGTTGGTCAAATTTGTTAACTTCACATGGCCATGTATGAAAAAGAATCCAATGAAGAAAACATTTATTTCTTTAATTCATTTGTCTGTTCCACCAACTAATTATACCATTCAAGGTAAACAATTTAATATGGGTTATTAACTATTATTTAGAAGATGGTAATATCAAAAATGGTCCACTATTGTTCAGTCATTTGTTGCACCATCAAATCCAATGAAGGAATATTTTAAAATGAGACAAGAGGCATGTAGAAAATATGTTGAGCGTGCATTTGGAGTTCTGCAAAAAAGGTTTGCAATTGTCGCGGGTCCTGTTCGTTTTTGGAAAAAAGAGGTGCTTAGTAATGTAATGAAAGCATGTATTATTTTGCACAATATGAATGTCGAAGATCAACTTAGTCCACCAATTAGAAGTGATATTCAATTTGGTGCTCTTACGGTTACTCCAGCACCGTGAGATCACGTCTCTTTTTAACAATTTCTTGCTCAACACAAAAGAATCAAGGATAAGTCTGCCCACTATGAATTTCGTAATGTATTTGGTTGCACATTTGTGGAAAAAATATTCTCATGGCAATAACTAGTTTTGTATTTTGTTTTCCGTAGTTCTTATTGTATTGAATGTTTCATGTTTGTGTTGATGTTTTTTTTTTAATTAATGTTTCTAATGAAATCCACGTGGATTTATGATGTAGTGTAATTTTATGATTTTGATTTAAATTTATTAGTTAATTTTATTAATCAATAATTAATATATATACATAAATATGTAAATAATAGCAAGCATAATGTATTAAAATGTAATTTATAGAGATTATTTAATAAACTAATAAAATTAGAAAAAAATATGCTTGGAATATTATTTTAGAGGGGAATTATAAAGGGAATGAATTAGAGTTGCTGGCACTGTTAAAACTGTAAAATTAATGAAATTTCACCGTAGAAACTATAAAGACAGCATGGTCGGAGAGGCACTAAGTACCTCATGTGGAGTACTTGGAGAGGGATTACACTTTACACGATCTACCTTTATGTTTAGTCAAATTTAGTCTTTTAAAGCAAAGTGCACGCACACGTGGTGGTAATTTTTTTTATTTTTTTTTTAATTCATGTTATTGCTGTAGTGAAATAATGTGAAGAACAAACTCAATATTTTGTCCAACGTTGTAAGTTTGGAAGAACGTTGTTCGGTTTTTCGGTTAAGTATAAATTTTATTGCTG